AAGGAAGGGAACTGCAGGTAGGTAGAGAGATGGCAGAAGACTATGGCGCATCCCAGAGTTCACTGTGGCTAGAATGTTAAGCACACATGGAAGAATAAGACAAGATAAAGCTCAAAATGTAGACAGCAGGGACCAGATCATGAAAAGTCTTGCATGGGCATTTTGAACTTTAAACCCAGAAACAACAGGAAGCCAACTACCAAAGAACTTGAAGTAGGAGAGGGACAGAGTTGAAAAGATCACTTTGGCTAGGGTAGAGTTAGAATGAGGTATTCTACTGTGCTAGGCACTTTTCATTATTTCATTCTACTTTTCCACAACTCTAGAGACAGGCAATATTATCCTTATTATGGCCCCAGAAATTTGGGCTCAGCGAGGTTTAGTAACTTGGCCCAAATGACACAGGTTGGCATGTAAGCCCAGATCTGTCAAACGTTTTCCGCTATAACATTCTGTCTCCCTAGGAGTGGATCTGGCAACTAATTAGATGCAAGAGTTACGGGAAAAAATTGTCTAGAATAACTTCCATATTTCTATCTAAAGTAACTGGGTAGATGTTAATATTATCAATAATAAAAAGAATATAGGCTGGGTATTTATATATATAGTGCTGAGAGCCAAGCCCAGCGCCTTACACACGTCAGGCAAGTGCACTACCACTGAGCCCCAGCCCCATCCCCTAATTTTGAACTGTTTCTGAATAGCACATCTGTAATTCCAATGGCATGAGAGGCTGAGGCAAGAGGATCATGAGTTCAAAGCCAGACTCAGTAACTTAGTGAGGCCCTAAGCATTTAGTGAGACCCTGTCTCAAAATAAAATATAAAAGGGCTGGGGATGTGGCTTAGTGGTAGAGCACTACTGGGTTCAATCTGCAGTACCCCCAAATAAAGCATAATTATTCTTGTTTGGGGGTGGGGTATGCTGAGGATTGAACCTCAGCCCTTGACCATGCTAGGCAAGCATTCTAACACCAAGTTATATCCCCTCCCCTTTTAAAAATTTTATTTTGAGACAGGGTCTTGCTAAAGTGTCTAGGCTAGCTGGTCTTGAAGTTGTAATCCTCCTACCTCAGCCTTCTTGAGTTGCTGGATTATATGTATATATCACTTCATCCAGGGCAGTATAATTATTTTAAAATTTTTTTAGATGTTGATGGACCTTTCTTTTATTCACTTATTTATATGTGGTGCTGAGGATTGAACCCAGTGACTCACATATGCTAGGCAAGTGCTCTACCACTGAGCCACAACCCCAGCCCCTAGTATAATTATTCTTATGGAAATTATTTTGCCTAGATACCCCCCACCCACCAAAAAAATCTTTTTTAAAGAAATGCCCAGGCTCAAACTTGTGATACTCTTGCTTCAGCCTCCCATGTCACTGGGATTATAGGCGTGTGCCACCACAGGCAAGAAATAAAAAAATCTTATAAAGGACTGGGGAT